AGGAGGGTAACTTCAGCAAAATGTCATTTACTCGAGTCTTCCCCCTCCATATTTCAATACTCAAAACTCAGCTGCACTTGGTTTTCTGTCACCTGACACAAGCAAAATTTAATAATTTATCTATAACTCGGTAAAGAGCTTTCTAATTTTTCTGATTGCATTATGACAATGTTAAAATGTAAAGACTAATGTATGGGATCAGGTGCGGGCCATTCTTTTTCCAGTTAAAAAATATATTGAGCATGATGGCAGAGGTTCCCTAGCTACGGGGGTAAACACAAAGTCACAGCCTTCCTTTTTGGGCTCTAAGCATTTAAGCCATATATATCACACATCTACAATTGTGCCAGCCAGCCTTAAGTAAAAAGGAAACATATTTTAGGCGTAGTTACAGGATAAGTTGAAAGACCTGAAACCATTCTTTCAGCTGGTCGGCTTAGAGACATTATAGGTAATTAAGTTACAAAAATCTGCTATATTAAAAATCAAGCACATCTAACTCAGAGATAAGGGACTCTGTGTAATCTTTCTAAAAATGAGGTTATTTATTTGAAAGTGTATGTAAGTCACTAGCAAGCACTGAGGGCCGGGTAATGCATTTCCCTGTATCTGTGTACGGTTGGCAGCTCCTGGCATTATACCGTGGAAGCTCTCTTCCCCTATGTAGTCAGTATCTGTGGTTAGTTAGTTAAAGAGAAAAGCCAGTTAACATAGGGCATCACAAAACTATAATAAATATCCTCAAAACTTTATTTTTAATTTAAAACATATACAAGTCCATCCATCCATCATTTCTTCGATTATCAGTCTAAGGCCTTTTCTTTGAGTGGGGTCTGCTGACGTTACTGGCTCCACATAAGACACCCATTAACACAGCAAGTAGCATTGTCAGTTATTTTCAGTGCAGTGAGGACTCAAGACACTTGTGGAGCAAACTGAGGGCAGAATTCTTCTAGATTTTGACAACCCTGTCCTCCGCCCAAACTTTCACATTTGTTTTGCCTACACCTAATTCCACAGCATTTTTTTTCCTTGATAAAGACCTGTCTTTATCAGGTCTTTCCCAAGCATTCAACTTATTTTCATAGGGATTACAACTCTCTCCACACTCATATTTGTTTGATTTTGGCAATACTGAATTAAATTATGTAATTATGAAACACAATTTGCATAAACAAGTTTGGGAACAAATTACTGACGTTTGGAAAGCGTACAGCTCCGTTAGAGAAGTGAACAGCCCAGCAGGGACTAGCCTATTGAGTAGTTGTAAAAACTGGGTTGGCCTTGAGCATCAGGCATATTTTCCACAGAACAGAGACTGGTTCAAAGGTCTGAAGCATAGGAGAGCTGAATTGGTTTAAGAAACGAAAAATCTAAATTCAGAGACTTAGCACTCGAACTCACAGGGAGTTAGCGCCGAATCCTCTTGAGAGGAATGCTGAGAAACATCTGACCAAAGCTTTCTGTGCTAGGCCTCTAGTGGGACCCACGGTGCTTCCCTTGGGAGGGTGCAGCGCCTGAGTCCCCTTTCAGCTGTTTAGTGTCACTGAGTCTACCCCTGGTGAATGCTCTAAAATATTAAAATGCGTCTCCCTTTGAAGGAGGCAGGAAAAGAACTGTTCCTAGTTTATGTTTAATAAAGTACTGAGGTCTAAAGTAGTCTTACTAGAGGTCAGGTTACTAAGGATAATAAAACTCTCCAAGACAACCCATTTGCTAACCAACAGGGGGAAACTATCTGTTTCCTGGTGCCCTCTTGTGATAAAGCAGCAGGTCTACAGTGCGTTATAAAGCTTTAAGATGAAAGTATCTGAAAGAGATCTTCATCCACCTTCATTATTGGTCCGATTGCACACTAGGAATTAACCACCAAAGTAATAAGTGGTGGTACTTGAAGGTGGGCTGTGGAATTAGAAGTATTTCCTCCCCACCCCCTAAATTGTCTAAAATAAAATGATACTACTTTTAAAAGTAAAAACATCAAAAACACCACCACAGTTAATTAGTAAAGAATTAGTAAATTAGTAATTTACTGGTAACTTATTAGTAATTCACAATTTACTAAGAACTAATAGTAAGTTAATAAGAAGATAGGGTTTACAGGAGGTTCTCGGATGAAGGCCGTTGGTGATGTCACGTGCGTGCCCATCAATAAACAGCAATCGTTCCTAAAGCCGTTTTCCCCACAGCGTGGAGACCCCAGGAGAAGCTGACAGTGCACCGGGGAGAACCCAGGTGTAAATGGACGTGTGTGTATATGCTGGCGGCTTTACAATATGAATATGGATTCCCGGATGCTCCTCCCTTCAAAAGGTGGAGCCTAATCCCCTGCCCTGGAGTGTGCAGTGGACTTAGTGCCTCGCTTCTAACAAATAAAATGAAGTGGAAGTGACGGTGTGCAACTTTACAGACTGGGTCTTTCCTCACTTGGAAGGAAGCTGAAGGCAGCCAGCTGCCATGGCCCAAGGATGCTCAGCAGCCCTGTGGAGAGGCTCACGCGCTACAGAGCCGAGGCCTCCCGCCAACAGCCGTGGGGGCGGCCATCTTGGAAGGGGGTCCTCTGCGTCCGCTCAGCTCCAGAGGACTGCAGGTTTGCTGCTGCTGGAGTGAAACCTCACGAGGGGCGCTGGGCCAGAACCCCAAGCTGAGCCACTCCTAGGTTTGACCTGCAGAAACGACGCTGAGAGACTAAATGTGTGCTGTTGTGAGCTGCTGTATTTTGGGGTAATTTCCTACACAGCACAGATGGCTACTACAGTGTGTGTTTATGGATGAAGTGAAGAAGAGAACAGTGTGAAATACCCTTTCTAGACCTGAGCTATTCACCTGGTGAAAATTCATCCTGTTGACCCAAGAGCTAGCGCCAAACTGCAGTAAGCCACTGTGATAAAGTGGTTTCTTTCTTCTCCCTGCCCAACTGCTACATTTTATGTCACAAGCATGTCACGGTCTGTCCTACCATTTAGCACAACTGCCTAGAATATCTGTGAGGAAACCTGAGAGCCGTTTCAGTGAGATAGAGACTATGACCAGGAGAACACTGGTAGCCTGGCTCTGGAGAAGCCCAGAAGAGTGAAGTTTCCAATAAATTGTCTGGCCTTTGGTTCTTTGTCCTGAAGGGTCAGAAACTGCATTTTATCAGAAGTTTCAGAATTCATAGACTAAATTGACAGACGTGGGGGCAGAAGTACACAAACTAAATTTCCATGAGACTGATGCATAAATCAGAAAGCTTCTCTAAACATACCATGTGTGGAATGGAGTTCTGGTGCTTTCCTCCAGAGTTCCGCTTCCTGAAGGACAGCTTGGAGGCCATAGTAGCAATCAGAAGGTGGTTCAGTGAAGCTTGCAATTAGAGCCCAAAGTGGCAAGTCTCGAGGTCTGTTCTTCCTGAGCCACAGCAAGTCTTGATAAACTGATATTACTTGAAGTAGAGGACGCTTCTGGTCACTGAAGTGCTCACATCTCTCGGATTCAGCAGCCCCCCTCTGTGGCTAACACTGTATATACACGGTCACAGCTTGTTTCTCCAAACCCTTGGTAAATTTCTGTTCATATTTTCTTTCCTCAAATGAGTTGAGATCACCTATCTGGGAAACACTCAGGCTCACCTCACCACATGTTGATCGAATTAGTTTTACCCCTGGGGGTGTCTTATTACCATGTCCTTGGGAGGAATCTCACTGTTGTCTTCACACCACCTGTACAGGTCCCATCAGGGGACATTTATTAGCATATCAGAGCTTGTCAAGAGATAATATTTTAGAACTAGCATAGCATTTCAAAGGCAGTTTTGTAATTTCTGATGTCTTATCTAGAAAATTTCCAAGATCAACAAAAGCCTAAGTTGATCATTAGGGGTTGAAAAATGAATAAATAGCAGTTATCAAAAATAGGGCATTTGGGGCCAGCCCCATGGCCGAGTGGTTAAGTTCATGCGCTCTGCTTCCATGGCCCAGGGTTTCACCGGTTCAGACCCCAGGAGTGGACATGGCACTGCTTATCAAGCCATGCTGAGGGGGCATCTCGCATAGCACAACCAGAAGGACCTACAACTAGAATATACAACTATGTACTGGAGGGCTTTGGGGAGAGAAAGAAGAAAAAAAAAAATAGGGCGTTTATGTGATGTTCTCCTTTCTCAACCCACTATATGTAGTAGTTCAGCTTGCCAACTTGAGTCATGAGTATTCTTACCACAATCAAGTCACTCAAATTTGGAACAAAGACCGATGTGTTTCGGAAATTCAAAAGTAGTTTTTACTATTCACAGTTAAAAATTAAATTTCAAGGGGCTGGCCCCGTGGCCGAGTGGTTAAGTTGGCGCGCTCCACTGCAGGCAGCCCAGTGTTTCGTTGGTTCGAATCCTGGGCCAGGACAGTGCACTGCTCATCAAACCACACTGAGGCAGTGTCCCACATGCCACAACTAGAAGGACCCACAATGAAGAATATACAACTATGTACTGGGGGGCTTTGGGGAGAAAAAGGAAAAAAATAAAATCTTTAAAAAAAAAAATTAAATTTCAAGAGAAAGTATTTTAGTATTTAATGTCTTAGTATTAATCAACATTGATTAATTCACAAGTTGAAAAGTATGCTCCATTAAATGTATGCACTTGAATTACTTAAAAAACTTGGAATTACAATAAAATCCTCAATATTTTGCCCATTATATAATTAAATAGAATTATAACAATAATTAGTGATTAGTAATATACCAAAATAACTTCATAAATTTATAAATACATCAAAATCTCTTTTAGTTTCATTGTCCTCAGAAACCCAGAAATACCACTCAATGGTCATTTACTTGTCATTTTCATCAGACATCACTCTTTTTGACTTTGTAGTTTCCTGAACACGTCTTTCTCTGATTATTTTTGTTTTACGAAAAAGAAAAAAATTTTTTTTTCTTGGAAACAAAATGAAGCCTAAATTAATTCAATAGCTGTTGAAATTTCTCCTGAAATTTTAAACAGCTACAAATCCACAAAAGGAAAAGATAAACACATTAGCTTTAATATAGCTAGTACACAATAAAAATTAAAAGAGCTATTTTGGGGAAGTTAATACAAGTAGAAAAACTGATAAAGTATGTTCACTAAAAGTAGTGTCATCAACATTTTTATTTAGTTTAGTATATGCTAGAATATAAATACACAACAATTTGCCCTTTCTTATCATAGGGAGTCTTTTTTCTAACTAAAATTTGTGGCTAACATTTTAAATAACAAAAGGAAAATAAAAGAAATCAGAAAATTATCAGGAAAGGGGAGAGGATATAGGAAAATAATACATTTTATATAAATTATGGAGGACAGTTACAATGAAAATCCATTACTTTCCTCTGGAACTCAATTTTACAAAATCAAGTCAACATGCATTATTCTGTCAACTGCTAGGAGTGCCGAAACACTGTGGCCCTTTCAAAAGACAGTGGTCAAAGACCAGTGTCATCTCGGCATCACATGTTGGTCTTAGTTCTTAGCTGGAGTGGAGCCTCCCTTCATAGTCTTCTTTAAGTGGTGGTAGTTTGGCAAGATTTTCATCAGGAAGTCCAGCTGGAGTGTCTGGGGCTAAAGAGTAAGACAATTAAGAAATGACTAGCAGAAAGCAAAGTTAAGAGTACCAGGTAGAAATGATTAGCAGGAGGTTGTGGAATTACAGGTGATTTTCACTGACTTATTTTAGCTAACCTTTTTTAAAAAAAAATTTTACAATGAACATATATGAAGTTTGGTAATAAGAAAAAGCTAAATTATATATATATATATTTTATATAGAAAATTATATATGATTCAGTTTTCAACCTTGTTTTTGTAGATTTCACCCTGGCTTCTGAAAAGTTACACAGTTCCAATTACAGCAGACAACAGAAGTAAGACACCCGGAGCGCACGGCTTTCCACGGCCTCACAGCACAGCTGCGATTCTCATCCCATCTTCGTTCGGCTGGGCCCATACTTCCCTCGTTGTGAAATTCCCTTGGGGTGCTCGTGAAGAATATGGATTTTGAGGCCCTTGTCCTAGACACTCTGATTCAGTAAGTCTTGGGAATCCTTTTTTTAATAAGGACCTCTATGTGATCCTTATGACCAGTGAAATTTGGAAAACAGTGTTGCATACCATTGTGTATGAAACTTCGGATATTCTTGCTCACTCAATTCTAATCTCCCTGCCCCAACTCCAGCTTCATTTCTCCCTCTTCAATCACTTTTGCTGTTTGCAGAAAGTTAGTGAAAAAATACTGGATTTGTTCTTATTTCCTTTTTAGTCTATAGAAGTAATACTTGCCTATAATAATAATAATAGCAAAAGCCAAACATTACAGAAATAGAATAACCCAGAAAGAACTGGAGTTTTAATTTCTGATAAAATATGGCTAAGAATCAGAGGCAAAGTGATAAATGTCTTGAAAAATATTTTCTTTGGGGGAGGGGAAGGAGGCTGGGGAATTAGAGAAATATAGCTAGTGTGCCAAGCAATGAAGCTGGAACCTTCCATCAGAACGTCTTCTGTCCAAAGGAAGCCCCAAATGCCCTACCTTATTCATCTCCTACTCCAACATGAAACTCCAAACATGTACTCTTCCTTATTCTTGGTTATCAGGAGGGGATAATTTCTCCTAAGTCAGGAAAATATCCAAACACACTTGCATATTCACAAGTTGTGTTTATTTTCAAGCCAAATGATACTTTAGGAGTGACAATACAGTTTGTAAGATTGGTGATGCATCTTCAGCGAAAACGCCTAAGACCAGGAATAACAGCTCCGGATTTTCTTTTCCCAGAATCAATCTGTCATTGTCCTGTTTGTACATATCTTTGATATTAACTTAAAGACTAAATAATTCCACTGCAAATAAATTCTAGTTTTAGGGATGTTTCTCTGATGTTTTATTTTAATCATTTGCTTTTTAAATAGCAAACTTGCTGCCCCATTAAAACAATTATGTGGTATTTTGGGAATATAAGCAGCCCTAGAAAGAATTTTTTTAAAGAGAGGTTCTAAGCACGTACCTGTGGTCGCTCAGTCTGCACCCGACGAAGGCAGTCTGCACCATAGATCACTGTGTTCTCAGGGATGACTTCAAACGTATTCAGGTTGCAACAAGCCCCGATGATGCAGCCGCTTGTCAATATCACATTTCTGCCTACATATGCTGCAGTAAAAACATAGAAAGAACTGCAATTTAAGACATCAAATGATTAGAACACTTTTTTCCTAAGATGATATAAGTATAAAAATGCAAACTAGCCTTAAGAAAAAAATTAAAGAAAGTACTTCAGAGTTTCTGCAGTCATGCGCCACATAACCATGTTCTGGTCAATGACAGACCACATATGTAAGGGTGGTCCCATAAGATTAATAGCTGTAGCCTAGGTGTGTAGTAGGCTACACCATCTAGGTTTGTGTAAGTACACTCTGATGTTTGCACAACAATGAAATCTCCTAACAATGAATTTCTCTGAACGCATCCCTATCATTAGTCATTAAGTGACACAAGAGTACAACACAGAGGCAGGCACCAGACTAGTATCAGATGGATTCAAAACAGAGCTCTGCTGCTGGCCGGTGGTGTGGCCTTGGGCAAGTCACTGTAAATTCCCCAAGAAAGTTTCTCTCTAACATGGAGAGACTGTCCTACTTCACAGTTTGCTGTCAGGAAGAAATGAGACAGTAAATGTGAAGTGCTGGGCACAGGTTTGATGCATAGTAAATATATAATGAATAGAAAATGATGAGGACAGTGATGATAATAATAATAATTGGTAATCCCAATGAAAATAAAAGCCATTAAGTAGATTAACAAAAAGTTTGATTTTATTATTTAAAAAAAGAAGCATTTTCTTTCATGTCAATCAAGAAAGATAAACCACACACCTTAAATTTACATAATGTTATAAGCTAATATGACCTCAATAAAATAATTTTTTACAAAAAGATAAACCATTATTCTAAAGAAGCCTCATGGCTCAGGTTCTTTCTGGACCTTAGTGGGACGAGCTCTTGGAGCTGCCTCCCGGCCATGGAGGTGACTTTACATGGCCCTCTGCCTAGCCCCACTTATCATCACTAGCCGCCATTTGTTTCTGATTAGCTAGCGTAAGTAGTCCTGAAATTAAGGAAAGCAAACTGCTAGGGAGACTGATCCATTTTCTTTAATTCTACAAGAACATTAATCAACTAAATTATCATTGACACTAGTACGTAGAAATATTTTTCAAATCTTTCACCTGAACTTTAGGTTTAATTCAATTCTGATTTAAATGCACACAGCTGAAATTTTAATTTAATGTATTAAAACACCTTACTAAGTTAGGTTCCTTAAAAGCAAAGAATTAGTCCCACAGCTATTTTAGTCCCCTTCCAACCACACCTTTCTTCCCAGCAGCCCACTCTGCCGTAGCTTGTCCTTAGGTTGTTTTCCAGGACACCACAAAGAGAAAGGAGGCAATCACTTTTCACAATAAAATTCCCAACATAGCTTACCTTTTGATTCAATAACATTATTATCTCCCATTTTCATGGCTTGGGAATCTGTAAGCCGGAGTTAAGTAAACATTGTAAATATGTTCACCTTTTTTTTTTTGTCTACTAACTTACTCTGTCCTTATCCTGCACTGGGGCGGTGGATGGGGCATGGGAAAGGCCACGCAAGCTTGGCGTGGCCAGAACCCCTTGCTCATGGCAGTCGGAAAGTAAAGTTTGAATCTTTACATATAAATATCTCCAAGTATAAATAAATGGCTTCTACGTTTTTTTAAAGAAATGAATATCTGATACCCCAGTTCTACAGTAATATATTTTCACAACTGTTTTAAGAAAATTAAAACTACCTATCACCCAATCATTTAAAGATAACACTATTTATTAATGGTTTGCGATCTCTTTATATAAATACATATAATTCCCTTTACATAACTGGGAATCAGACTGTATGAACTTTTGCAGCTCACTTTATTTGGTTCACTTAAGTTGGCAAACATTATTCCATACCATTAAAATCTTTAAAAACATATATATATATATATTTTTTTTTTGGTGAGGAAGATTTGCCCTGAGCTAACACCTGTGCCAATCTTCCTCCATTTTTTGTATGTGGGATGCTGCCATAGCATGGCTTGATGAGTGGTGTGTAGGTCCATGCCCAGGATCCAAACACGCAAACCCCAGGCTACCAAAGTGGAGTGTGCAAACTTAACCCCTACACCACCGGGTTGGTCCCCTTTAAAAACATAATTTTAATTGACTGCTTAATGGTCCTAATGGTCTTTTTTATGCTTGTAGTTTAATTTATTTAAATATTTTGCTATCATTAGACATTTACATTTTTTCTTTCAAGTATTTTCTGTTATAAAATAATGTTTTGCTGACACCATGAAAAGCTTTTACTGTCTTTTTAGAGTATAAAACCAAGCAAAAGAACTGGTGGCACTCTATGGGAAAAAAAACAAAGAATGAGATATTTTCACTCCCATCCACCATTCATTGCATCAGACAATATACTGTCAACTTAGAACTATACAGGAATCAAATGGACAGAACTGTGGTTCTTAAGTCAGGATAGAAGCCAGGATTACTGTTTCTGGGTCTACTGCCACTCAGTCATTGCTACCTGTCAATGAGTTGTAGCAACAGGAGCAAGATGGTACCTAAAGATATGTGTGTGTGTACACATGTGTGCACACGCATGCACAGGGGCACCTGAGAAACGCACACTTCCCTTACTCGGTTATCCAACGGAAGAGAAGTATAATTTTTTTGATGGACTGCAAATAAGTCTTTTCAAAGAACTGGGGATGGCCTACTCCTAAAATGTAATTTATATACTTATATTTTATATAATATAATTGATAGGTAAATCATGACAACTTCTATGGAGGAGACCTGGATAGTAAAAGATAGCTGGGAATGATTATCGTAAATTATTGAAAAGGATACAACAGCCAACTTCAAACACATTATTGGTGCCAATGATCATAGGTTTGGGGTCTGGATCTTCAGTGTCAGGGGTGATGTTATCAGGATGACTATAAAAGGAAGAGATAAATCATCAAAAAGTCAATAATGCAATAAACAATCCTCCTGTTTTAAAATCTGAGCTCATTCTTTCAATTTTACTTCCATCAAGCTTAAAATATATAACTATGAGAAAACTGGAGGAGGAGAACAGAGTGGAGCAAAATGGCAGGGTGAGCTGACCCGGGATTCTCTCCCCTCCAAAATACAACAAAAGATTGGAAGAACTGAATTTCAGAGAATAAACATAATGCCAGCTCCTTAGAGACCTACAATACCAAGAAGGCGGAGATCATAAACCTAGCTTTACACCTTTGGAGGTGCTGGAACGGTAGGAGAGAACATCGCTCCGTCCCCTAGAGTCTGCGATTGCTGCTGCGCGTCGGGAAGGAGCGGGGGAGGGGCCGCGCGACTGGGGGATCATCCAGGACTCCTGCCGCTGATTCAGTGGAGACCCGCTGACGGGGGGGGGGGGGGGCAAAGCTTCTGTCGGTGGGGACCCTATAAATCAAGGGCCTTGGGAGACCAGAGAACAGAACTGATCTGAACCCAGACCGGCACGTGTGAGTAACAGCCCCTCCGCCCAGCAAAGCCAGTGGGCGCAGCCATCTTGCCCCAAGGCAGAGAGCTAACACGCCGCTCTCGACCCCCATCTAGTGGCGACAGGCTGTAACTGCAACTGAATTCTACCACCATGAGAAAAAACCGCTCCTCTACCATCCAGCAATTTATAAAAGCCCCAGACCAGAAGGAAAACAATAAAAACACAGAATTAAGTCCTGAGGACTTGGAATTAGGTAAACTAAGTGATAATGAATTCAGAGCAGCTATAATCAAAAAACTCAATGAGGTAGAAAGAAAGACAGAGAAACAAGCCGAGTTCTGGAGTTACTTCACAAAAGAGATTGAAATCATAAAGAAGAATCAAACAGAATTACTTGAGATGAAAAACACAATGGACCAGATAAAACAGAATATGGATTCCCTGAATGCCCGTGTAGACAACATAGAGGAGCAAATTAGCATAATCGAAGATAGACAGGCTGAATGGCGCCAGAGGAAGAAAGAGAACTAAGAATTTAAAAAAATGAGGAAAATCTCCAAGAGATAATGGATTCAATGAGGAGTAAGAACATAAGGATCACAGGAATTCCCGAGAATATGGAAAAGGAAAATGGAGCAGAAAGTGTGCTTAACGAAATTATTGAAGAGAATGTCCCAAATCTAGGGATCAACGGAGAAATGTGTGTAGAGGAGGGTTTTAGATCTCCTAGATTTGTCAATGTAAAAAGAGCTACCCCACGGCACATAGGAGTAAAGTTGGCAAAAAGGAAAGATAAGGAAAGAATACTCAGGGAAGTAAGAAAAAAAAAGAGAATAACCTATAAAGGAGCCTCTATCAGACTGTCCGGATTTCTCTACAGAAACCCTACAAGCTAGGAGAGAATGGAGTGACATATTCAAAGCTTTAAAGGATAAAAATCTTCAGCCTAGAATACTCTATCCAGCAAGAATTTCCTTCAGATATGAGGGAGAAATTAAATCTTTTCCAGACAAACAAAAGTTAAGGGAATTTGTAACTAAAAGCCCTCCATTACAAGAAATCCTCAAGAAGGCTCTCATACCTGAAAAAAGAAAAAAGGGGAGAAAGGGGACACAATCCACAGACTAGGGAGACCGATGGATAGAACCAGAACAGGATAGCAAATATTCAATTATAGCATTAGGGTAAAGGTAAGGAAACTACCAAAACAAGGACGATCTTAGCACTCTAACTACCAATTAATAAGACGAGTTGGAATAAAAAATGAAAATAATTATTTAGGAGGGGAAGAGCAAAGGGTCTAAATCAGTATTAGTCAAGTAAGTAAGAGACCACCAGAGAATAGACTATATTACACACAAGATTCTAAATACAAACTTCAAGGTAGACACTAAAATAAAGTACAGAACAGAGTCACAAATCATAAATAAGGAAAAATCTAAGAAACCCAGCATAAGAAAATGCAGTATTAAATGGGTAGTCTAAAGCAAACAGGAAAAGAAACGCAGGAAAACAAGATAATGAGCGACAGATTAACAGCACTAAGTCCACATGCATCAATAATCACTCTCAATGTGAACGGATTGAACTCTCCAATAAAAAGACACAGAGTGGCAAAATGGATTAAAGAACACGATCCAACAATTTGTTGCCTCCAGGAAACACACCTCAGCCCCAAGGACAAACACAGACTCAGGGTGAAGGGGTGGAGGACAATACTTCAAGCAAATAGCAAGGAAAAAAAGGCAGGTGTTGCAATTCTCATATCAGACCAAGTGGATTTCAAAATAAGACAGGTAAAGAGAGACACAGAGGGACAATATATAATGATCAAAGGGACACTTCATCAAGAAGAAATAACGCTTATAAATATCTATGCACCCAACACAGGAGCACCAAGATTCATAAAGCAACTATTAACAGACCTAAAGGAAGATGTTAAAAACAACACAATAATAGTAGGGGACCTCAACACCCCACTCACATCAATGGACAGATCATCCAGACAGAAAATCAACAAGGAAATAGTGGAGCTAAATGAAAAACTAAAACAGTTGGACTTAATAGACATATATAGATCACTTCACCCTGAAAGAGCTGAATACACATTCTTCTCAAGTGCACATGGAACATTCTCTAGGATAGACCATATGTTGGGAAACAAGGCAAGCCTCTACAAATTTAAAAAAATTGAAACAATAACAAGCATCTTCTCAGATCATAGTGCTATAAGGCTAGAAATTAATTACAAGAAAAAAGCTGAGAAAGGCACAAAGATGTGGAGACTAAACAACACACTACTGAACAAGCAATGGATCATTGAAGAAATTAAAGAAGAAATAAAAAAATACCTGGAAACAAATGAAAATGACAGCATGCCATACCAACTCATATGGGATACAGCAAAAGCTGTATTAAGAGGAAAATTCATCGCAATACAGGCACATCTTAACAAACAAGAAAAATCCCAAATAAGCAACCTTAAAGCACACCTAACTGAACTAGAGAAAAAAGAAGAAATGAAGCCCAAAGTCAGCAGAAGGAGAGAAATAATAAAAATCAGAGCAGAAATAAATACTATTGAAATGAAAAAGGCAGTAGAAAGGATCAATGAGACAAAGAGCTGGTTTGAGAAGATAAATAAAATTGACAAACCACTAGCCAGACTTACAAAGAAAAAAAGGGAGAAAGCTCAAATAAACATAATCAGAAATGAGTGAGGAGAAATAACAACAGACTCTGCAGAAATACAACAGATTATAAGAGAATACTACAAAAAACTATATGCCAACAGAATGGATGACCTAGAGGAAATGGATAAATTCTTGGACTCCTACAATCTCCCAAAGCTCACTCAAGAAGAGGCAGACAATTTGAACAGACCAATCACAAGGAAAGAGATTGAAACAGCAATCAAAAACATCCCCAAGAATAAAACCCCAGGACCAGATGGCTTTCCTGGGGAATTCTACCAAACTTTCAGAGAGGATTTAATACCTATCCTTTTCAAGCTATTCCAAAAAATTAGGGAAGATGGAACACTTCCTAACACATTCTGTGAGGCCAACATCACGCTGATACCAAAACCTGACAAGGACACCATGAAAAAAGAGAACTACAGGCCAATATCACTGATGAACATAGATGCAAAAATTCTAAACAAAATTTTGGCAACCAGAATTCAGCAATTCATCAAAAGAATCATACATCATGATCAGGTGGGATTCATACCAGGGACACAGGGATGGTTCAACATCTTCAAATCAATCAACGTGATACACCACATCAACAAACTGAGGAATAAAAACCACATGATCATCTCAATAGATGCAGAGAAGGCATTTGACAAGATCCAACAGCCATTTATGATAAAAACTCTGAACAAAATGGGCATAGAAGGAAACTACCTCAACATAATAAAGGCCATATATGACAAACCCATAGCCAACATCATACTCAATGGGCAAAAACTGAACGCCATCCCCCTGAAAACAGGAACGAGACAAGGATGTCCTCTATCACCACTCTTATTTAACATAGTACTGGAGGTCCTGGCCAGAGCAATCAGGCAAGAAAAAGGAATAAAAGGAATCCAAACAGGGAGGGAAGAAGTGAAACTCTCACTGTTTGCAGACGACATGATCTTAAATATAGAAAACCCCAAAGAATCCATTGGAAAACTGTTAGAAGTAATCAACAACTACAGCAAAGTTGCAGGGTATAAAATCAATTTGCATAAATCAGTAGCATTTCTATACTCCAGTAATGAACCAACAGAAAAAGAACTCAAGAATACAATACCATTCACAATCGCAACAAAAAGAATAAAATACCTTGGGGTAAATTTAACTAAGGAAGTGAAGGACCTATATAATGAAAATTACAAGGCCTTTCTGAGAGAATTGGATGACGACATAAGGAGATGGAAAGACATTCCATGTACATGGATTGGAAGAATAAACATGGTTAAAATGTCCGTTCTACCTAAAGCAATCTACAGATTCAACGCCATCCCAATCAGAATCCCAATGACATTCTTTACAGAATTAGAACAAAGAATCCTAAAATTCATATGGGGCAACAAAAGACCCCAAATTTCTAAAGCAATCCCGAGAAAAAAGAACAAAACGGGAGGCATCACAATCCCTGACTTCAAAACATACTACAAAGCTACAGTAATCAAAACAGCATGATACTGGTACAAAAACAGGTGCACAGATCAATGGAACAGAATTGAAAGCCCAGAAATAAAACCACACATCTATGGACAGCTTATCTTTGACAAAGGAGCTGAGGGCATACAATGGAGAAAAGAAAGTCTTTTCAACAAATGGTGCTGGGAAAACTGGAAAGCCACATGTAAAAGAATGAAAATAGACCATTCTTTTTCACCATTCACCAAAATAAACTCAAAATGGATCAAAGACCTAAAGGTGAGACCTGAAACTATAAGGCTTCTGGAAGAAAACGTAGGCAGTACACTCTTGATATCAGTATTAAAAGGATCTTTTTGGATACCATGCCTTCTCAGAGAAGGGAAACAATAGACAGAATAAACAAATGGGACTTCATCAGATTAAAGAGCTTCTTCAAGGCAAATGAAAACAGGATTGAAACAAAAAAACAAACCACTAACTGGGAAAAAATATTTGCAAGTCATATATCTGACAAAGGCTTAATATCCTTAATATATAAAGAACTCTCGCAACTCAACAACAAAACATCAAACAACCCGATCAAAAATGGGCTGGAGACATGAACAGACATTTCTCCAAAGAAGATATACTGATGGCCAATAGGCACATGAAAAGATGCTCATCATCGCTGATCATCAGGGAAATGCAAATCAAAACTACACTAAGATATCACCTTACACCTGTTAGAATGACAAAAATATCTAAAACTAATAGCAACAAATGTTGGAGAGGTTGTGGAGAAAAAGGAACCCTCATACACTGCTGGTGGGAATGCAAACTGGTGCAGCCACTATGGAAAACAGTATGGAGATTCCTCAAAAAATTAAAAATAGAAGTACCATACGATCCAGCCATCCCACTACTGGGTATTTATTCAAAGAGCTTGAAGTCAGCAATCCCAAAAGTCCTATGCACCCCAATGTTTATTGCAGCACTGTTTACAATAGCCAAGACGTGGAAGCAACCTAAGTGTCCAGCAACAGACGAATGGATAAAGAAGATGTGGTACATATATACAATGGGATACTACTCAGCTGCAAAACAGAACAAAATCATTCCATTTGCAATAACATGGATGGACCTTGAGAGAATTATGTTAAGTGAAATAAGCCAACGATAGAAGGATAATCTGTGTATGACTCCACTCATATGAGGAATTTAAAATTATGGACTAAGAACAGTTTAGTGGATACCAGGGGAAAGGTGGGGTGGGGGGTGGGCACAAAGGGTGAAGTGGTGCACCTACAACATGACTGACAAACATTAATGTACAACTGAAATTTCACAAGATTGTAACCTATCAATAACTCAATAAAAAAATATATATATATAACTATGGAAGTAATTTCTTAATCCAAGTGACTTATTTATCCTCTATGCTGGAGAAGCCTTGATTCTGAATTGAAAAAGGACTACTGAGATGTAAAGAAGTCATAGGTGTGTACAGAAGTCAGCCTTCCTTTGTTTATTTTTTAAACCCAAAGCCCAGAGGGCCTTTTGCAGGACAAAGTAAAAAAGATGCCGGTTATGACTTTTACCTTGTTAAATTGGAATCAAAATCATGCTTGACTTGAAAATTTTCCATTCTTAATAATCAGTCATTGAGACTGTGAAACATAAACAGACATTCACATAAAATAATTATTTTACGCTGTCAGGTAGTTAGTTGAAACATTTGGAACATAAAATGTTTGTGGTCTAAGAGGAGGAAACCATTTTAAAATGGTATTTTATCTCTGACAGTTGAGTTACTGCAGAATACAGCTATTGTTAACTGACTTACACTAAACGTGCCAAAATATATTTTAAAAAGAAACTGCTTAATATAGTAAGAAACTCCCAAATTCTAAGTAAGCATTAAGACAAATCTCTTTATCACAGTAAATATTTTCCCAAGGTCTTTCTTACAAATTCCATACATTGTTGCTGTAAATTAGGTATAAACGTGAATTTCCTGCCAAAATCTTATCTAGAAAGCTTTACAAATGCTTATGAAAATTTCACAGGTATTACAGTCCAGTTCACTAAGATCATGTACATGTTCTAATATTTTATTATCTTTTTAAACTTTAAAGTTTAAAAATTGCCCCTAGGGCTCCCAATTTTTCAAATATAATTCTGGGTGTTACCCCTACAAAGCACATGAAAATATATATCAGAGTTAAGTACATGTGTTGGGGCATGAGTAATAATAACATTTCAGCCAGAACCAAAAATCCAACCAAAGCTTCTCTTCAGGGTGGTCAGCACGGCCCTTGAACGTCGGAGGGACTCAGGAAACGTCTGCTCAAGGAAGAGAAGAGGTAGTGATGCGTAAAGGGACGATTATCGGACCGAGAGTCGGAGATTCGAGTCCGCCACCAACAAGCTATCCCACCTTGGACCAGGCTCGTCACCCCTCTGGTCTTTGGTTTCCTCATTTCCTAATCACTTGTGTTGAAAAAGATCCTTAATGTAATTAATCCTTAATGTGACTTAATGAAAAAGATCTCTAGTTCTAAAATAGTGGGCTTTCCAGATGTCAGTTGTAAAAGGTTCCTATAAATAGCTGAAATTAACAAAAGCACTGCCTGTGGTACTTAGTTCAGAGCATCCGTACGAGTCTTACTCACGCATTTATGATGAGCGCCTGTTCTTCTATCAGGTTGCCTTCGCCAATCACTATTGGCCCAGCTTCCGCAATAATTCGTGCCTTAGGGTGGATCACTGTCCTAGGTCCTGTTAAAAGTATGGTGAAAAGAAATTATTGGTGGAAGCTATGCTTCCCAGAGGAGGGTAGGAGGTGACCGAGGGGGCCGGGCTATTGGGAGGAACACTCTCTGAAGTACGCGCCAGGCACCACACTAGGTGCTTTACAAACTTATCTCCTCGGCTGTTATCATCAGCAGTTAGTGCCAGATTTGAAGCTAAGGTGAGAGCAGACGGTACAGCTCTAGAGCCAGACAGCCCTGGCTCAGCCTCTATTTTGAAGCCTCTGCTATCTCAGCTGTGAAATGGAGGTGGTGATAATATCAGTCTCCCAGGGTTGTAAGGATTACGAAATAAGTTTGCAGACACAGTACTCCGGCACATAGTTGGCAATAAACATTAATTCCCTTCCTTCCTTTCCCTCAGAAAGGTAAGGCTCTCTTTGCTTAAAATGTGGGCACTTTCTTATGTTGGTGAACCCATAACACCTCCTTATGCAGGTGCACTGCAGGATCAGTCTTTATTAAGTGAGGAAGAGGAAATACAGGCGGGATGGGAGTCAGAAAACATGGAAACTAACCTTAGCTTTGTTACTTGGTCACCAAGCCTAACCATCAGGAGGAGGCAGAGCTTCTGTTGACTGCTCTAGGATATGATTTCAACCAGAAAAAGGTTAAAGGGAGGCAGTGGAAGGAGTTAAGCGTGATCACTGGAGTCCTAAGACTCTGATATAGGGAGACCGGAGGCAATGGCTCGAATCTCAAACGGAAGGGAGCAGGAAGGGGTCTCCCCTGCCCACTTCATGATCAGGTGCTGGAGGTGCTGCATTGCCCAAACGGGGGATTCTGGAATGCCAACACAGCCCCCCCCCGGCTTTTATCTACCCAAAGGCCTAGTACTTTGGTGATAATGAAACTACTGATGAGAAAACAACCTCATTTTGCCCTCTCCCTCCAACACCACCCACCCAGCCCCAATCCGAGGCTATTTTTATTGGTAAACAAGGGGACGGGAAAGTAACTGACTCTGAAGTAAGAGAGGGCGGGCAGAAGTGTTGACAGAAGGTGGGGAGGAAGTCAAGAAGATGGCATTGTGTATGAAATTCAGTATTCAATTGCACAGATTGTTAATTTATTCAATAATCATTATCTGCTTGTGACAGGCAAGATGCAGTGCTGTATCTTACAGGGAAACAAAAAGAAATATATGCTATTTTTGCTTTTTTGCACTTGTTTATCTTGAAAGCTGGGAATACTTAACACACTCGCTCACAAATGTATTCAATAAGGAGATGCTCCCGGTGCCCAGAGAATTGAAAGGAACCTTACTTCAGCTGATTTTTTTCCCTAACAATGAAGAGCTGGGGACTGATAAAGAGGGCGGGGCCCAAGACAGGATGCACCGTCAAAGGACACACAGTACAGAAAACCGGCAAAAAAATAACACTAGAATGGCTTTGTTATTTCTGTCACTCCTGGCTCCCCAAATCCTCAGCTGCTAAAGTAAAATTTCCCAGGCAAATTCTCCTGTTTAGGACAAGAGACTCCGGGATAGAAGATAGGAACTCTTGGATCCACGGGAAGCTTCACAAGTTGACCACGATTGTGAATACCTGTGCCTTTTTTCTTTGTTAAAAAATACATACCCACACATTTACAAAAGGAACACATGCTCATTATAAAAAATTCAAACAAAGCAAAACATGAAAGATTCTCTCCTCATGCTAATCCCACTCCCCAGAGGTAACTATTCCTAGAAGTTCGGGGTATATTATTTCAGACTTAAGTATACTGTACACTTAAGATCTGTAAATATCACTGTACATAAAATATATTTCATTAGACAGTTAAAAAATAAATTCAACTTGAAGGAGAAAAAAATACAGATTACAAGCACGTACTTTTTTTTTTAAACCAAAGAATAGTACTTATTATTCCATAATTTTCTTTTTCACATTAGCTAGTAAGTCACAGTGATTTTTCCACATAAGTAGACCTAGCTAGCTATTCTTTTTAATGGCTGAACAGTATTTCACATCATCTTAATATACGATAATTTATTTAACCAATCCCTTAATAATGGGCATTTAGATGTTACCACTTTTGAGGGAGAAAACAGCTAAACAATGCTGAAACAAACACTGGATTCCCTTGAAATGAGAAATTTCTTACAGGTCATCAAGCTGTGTGAACAATTTACATCTGTAGTTTGCACAATACCATATTTAAATTTTACTTCAAAATATTCTGATAAAGAGACACAATCTATTTTAGGTTCTTTGTAATTGAAACCCCAGCTAGCACCCCACCCCTTGCCTAGAAAGTGTAGACTCTGGCCTCTATCAATTAAAGGCTCTGTGTTCATTCTCTCAAATGCCTCAGGTTTCTCATCTATAAAAAGTGTGGATTATATGAAATGATGTTTGAAAGGGAGATCATAGGGTCTGGCCCACACTTCTTAAAAATGGGAGGTTCATCATAATCTGACATGAAGAGCTAACAACCAACTTTACCATGGTAAGCAAAGTAACTCCTGGTCTGAGAAACAGAAGAAAAGGGTAATACTCAGGTATCAGGGTAGTATCCCCTTCTAATCAGGGGGAAAACTCTGCACCTTATTATAAGATAGTAAAAAAGATTAATAAATGTATTTTCCATATTAGCATCAAAAATCCTAGACAGGAGGAAGAGCTCACAGCTGGGGTAGAAATGGAGCCTCTGCCGCCCCTAGATAAGCAGCCAGAGGCACAGGGTCGTCTGCTGTTCCTCGAGCTGTAGTGTTTGATGACACGCAGACCTGCAAGGAGCTGCCTGGGAACAGACTAATGAGACAAAGCTACCACTGGGACCTGTGTTTCTTTACAAGTTTCTCTAAAGTGTAGCTTTGAAAAGAATTCATATTTTCATTTTTCCCTTTCAAAAATGACATGTCAATTATACAAAAAACACAAACACAAATTTTAAAAAATTAAACTAATCCCAAGTCCCATGTCTTCTTACACAATATTTAAAAATAATGCCTGAGCTATTTCCACCAGGTGTTTTATTACTGTTATTACTATATTTATCATTACTAATAAGTTAGTTAGCAAATAACTGGAAAGCTGGTGATAAATCTGAGGGCCTTGCCCTGAGATACAAAGCATTATCACTGGCATATGAGACCTGGGTTTGAGACGCCACCTCCACCTGGTGGCAGCATTGCAAAACTACAAGTCCCAGGGCTGAAATAACATCAAAAGTGAAACTACCAACTTTGAGTGGTGAAGTGACAGCAAACGTCGTGGGCAACAAAACTGAATAGTGCCCACAAACCTCTGGAAGGTCTTTTTTGGGCAAAGACTAGAGAGGTCAGCGTACACCTGCTTCAGGATATGTGACTGCTAAGACACTGGTTTGTGCACTTGAAGGAACGTCCTGCCTCAGGTGAGTGAACTGCACAGTGCACAGCGCCCAGCAACGAGCACTGTTCCAGGGCCCGGGTGGCGACAGCACACCGAAACGTGGGCACAGTATGTTCCACGCTTTTCTGCATGCAAGAAGCACTTTTACCTAGAATGGGCCTGAGTTCAAGCCAAGTTTAAGGGTCCTGAGGTTAAAATGCTTTAAAAATAAAAATCTGTCACCATGGAAAGTTTTTTAAAAAAGGCTGCTGTGAACTTCTTGGAGCTCATTCTGGCAGGATAGTTTGTATATTTTCTTACCAAATGTGCTGAAACCCTATTTGGCTTATCTCCTTGTTTGGATAAATGTGTCTAGAGTTGGAGCTGCCTTGCTGGCTGATGACTAATTTTTCTAAATGGTTGGCTGGCCTTGACGCAACATAGCCAGAAAGACATTCCTTGCATCAAATTTCCATTCCCTTCATTTGGTAAAGGACGTTTTTCCTGTCTGTCTTTGCCACAGAAAGCAATCTTTGTGTACATTTTCATGTCAATAAATAGTTCAAAAAGCCACAGGCTCTCTTTTGAAAATTAAAACAATTCCTTTGACCTGTAAGCTCAAGTACCTGTAAGAACTGCTTTATATTCGATGAATTTCTCAAGTCAAAGTCACTGTTCTGCCTTATTGAAGATTTCCACAATAAAAGGGAAGCTTGTGATTTACATTAAACACTCTAATGGAGAGAAAGACAGAGTACGTGGGACAAAGTGCTTCCATCACAAAGCTCATCCATTGTGCCGAGTTCTGCCTTCACATTCTGATGTCCCCACCAAGCCCTGTCCGACCTGTCACCCTAGAATAGGACTACAGAACTGTGCTTAGAGCGACCTTTCTGAAACGTTTTTCAGCTTTCAAAACAAAATTTACAGGAAATAACATACGGCCCCCATGAATCAAGGCAGCCTAATTAAAAACAGGCTTGATACTATGAAACCTTATTTACCCAAATTATAGTTAAGAAGACAGCTGTTATTTTTGCCAAGGTCTGTTCCCTAGCAGCCTCTAATCAAAGGGGTCAGGCTTCAGCAGAGCCTCAAGTCATAGGTTTTCTGGTTAAGGACAATACTTCAAAGCTTCGGACTAGTTTCTTTGATAAACCAAATACTTAATTTTCAGGGAAAATACAAGATTGGGTTTAAACTTCTACTATACTGAAACAAAGCAAAGGAAAAATTACTTTCTTCCTGAAATATTTCAGAATGGAAGAATCTGGTAAGATTATAACCAAGTAGGGGATGGAAAGTTAGGCATAACAGCCTAAAAATCCATTAATTAAACCACACTTCAGTTAGTTAACCCATAAAACAGGGCTTACTAAGTGCTCAAGTCTCTATAGCCACAGTGTAACAGGAAAAGACTTTAACTATTCTGGTAAATTGAGCAAAAACAAAAACAATAAAAACCATAATTTGAAAAATAAACCATGGTGAGGAGAGTGAATTTTAATCAGATAACTTATTTCTACTTTCTGCTTTGACTTAACTTTATAATTATATCTCCCCGGAGCTTTCTAATCTGATGTATTACATCAGAAAAGCGAATTAATAGTAGCAAAAAGATTAGAGAGATTTTATACCAAATATAACCTTGATAGAAAGGACTATCTAAATACCAATTCTGGTAAATTTCCTTTTCTCTACATACAATTAAAGATAAGAAACACACAAATGAAAATGAGATAATAATTGTGGAAGACAGAACACCGGTAACTATATCACTTCTGAATCTTTTCCTTAATTTTAAAAATTGAGATGTTTCTGTAAAGTATCCAAGCAAATGTTCTTGTTTTAAAAAACTGGGTCAAAAATAAACATAACAAACATTAACTTAGATGCATTCCATGATAAACTTCAAATGCTAGTTTTGTTGTTTTGTTGTTTTGCTGAGGAAGATTCGCCCCGAGCTAACATCTGTTGCCAATCTCCCTCTTTTTGCTTGAGGAAGATTAGTCCTGACCTAACATCTGTGCCAGTATTCCTCTATTTGGAATGTGGGTTGCCACCACAGCATGGCCACTGATGAGTGGTATAGGTCCACGCCAGGGCTCTGAACTCAGGCTGCCAAAAGCAGAGCGTGCCAAACTTAACCACTAGGCCACAGGGCTGGTGCCCTCAAATTGCTAGTTTTTATTTTATTTTATATTTTTTTGAGGAAGATTAGCCCTGAGCTAACATTTGCTGCCAATCTTCCTCTTTTTGCTGAGGAAGACTGGCCCTGAGCTAACATCCGTGCCCATCTTCCTCTACTTTATATGTGGGATGCCTGCCACAGCATAGCTTGGACAAGCGGTGCATAGGTCTGCACCTGGGATCTGAACCGGCGAACCCTGGAGCCAGTGAAGTGGAACGTGTGCACTTAACCACTGTGCCACTGGGCCAGCCCCAAATGGCTAGTTTTAAAAACTATCAGAGCTGTGCACTATCAGCTAGTGGTCAAAAACCATATGGCAAGTGAATTAAGTACTGTATATCTTTACATAATTTCAACATTTAGGGAGGGTTGGAGGATAAAAGGGTAAAGAAAGGGGAGGAGCACAGAGTAAAGGCAGAGGGAGAAACAGGAAAGTGAGTGCTGACTCCTGATACCCCCATGCCCCAGTCCTACGCAGTGGCTGACCTTTCCTTTTCATAGGATAAAGCCTTTACTGCTATTCTAGGAAAGCTTCAGCAAGTAACAGGTGTTATTTCAAATATGAAATACACACACAACATATACCTGTATGTACACTTATGCCTGTAGAGATATCTATACTATCTATATATCTGTTATTATAGTAGATCTTGTACACTTTTGTTTAAAATGGGGAGGAAGTAGAAATGAAAGGGAAAGTTTATATAATTAGCTACATTATTTTAGTCTTACTTTTCTCCTAATTATAGAATGCCTTGTGAGCTAATATTAGATGCTCTTCCTTGAATCATGATGAAAACCGTAAAAACACCAGAATAAAAATAATGCAGAAGAGCATTTTGGTAAACATGTGACCATGATAATTTCTCCTCATAAAAAGTTTGCAAGTGGTTTAAGAGTTACAGAGAGTTAAGATAGCATTGAAAAGAAACAGTCACCTTCTAAACTTTGAAATTCTGCCAATTTAAAATAATTAGATAAATCTAACCTGGCAAATTCCTAATGATGTTCCATAATACTGGCACAATCTTCATTGGTTTTACAAGACATGCTGCCTAAATTGGTTGGAGGCTTAGGCTGACTAAAATGTACAATTTTCTTTTCTATTAAAGATTCTGTTAGTATAAAGGAACAAGGCATATTTTCCCTCTGAAAGTGTGCTTTATTCACTGAGAGCTCTACTCTGGTAACACGCAGCTATTAGTAAGGATGGGCTCATGTTAATAAAGCTGCAAGGGAAGCATATCCAGGGAAAACATATGTAAAAGAACTAGTGGCGAAAATGTGAGTTTGGGGGAATTTCATCACGTTCATATAAGCAAGTTGCTACATGTTCAGCTGTTCATTTGATTTAAATGTTGGACCTCACCTCTAGCAATGCTACACTGATAAGATCTAACAGTGCAATCAGCTAACGTTTATTGAGTGCCCACTATGTTTTAGGTGTTGGGCAATAACTTTCACAACTATTCTTATTTGATCCTTCAAAAACCTATGAGGTAAGCACTCCTATTTTGCATGTGACAGAAACTGCTCATTGCCACCGGACATCCATTCTTCCTTTTTCCCTTGTAACAGAATTGCATTTTACTGGGGGCAGCAAGGTACCCAGTTCAGACTATATCTCCCAGCCTTCCTTACAGCTGGATGTGCCCCTGAGACTAAGCCCAAGGCATCAGACACACAAAGGATTGTGTGGAACATTCAGGAAGACTATTTAAAGGGAGCTGACTCAACTGGAAGGTGCACCCTTTTGTCTCCACTGCTCCCCTTTCTTATCTAAGACCACTCTTAGTGCTCTAGCCATCACATGCTGGCCTGCAAGGCTGGAGCTCCTGGACGATCCACTCACCAGCCCTGCACTGCCTAGATTTTTGTATACAAGAGAATAAACAGGTGGCATGTTGAAGCCACCCACACATGCAGCTGAACCTAATCCTGATACACACAATTACACAGATGCAGACAATGGAGGTTAGTAAGGTTAAGCAATATGTCCAAGGTAACCCAGCAGGTAGAGGGCAAGGAGGCTAACCCAGGTCTGTCTGACTCAATGGTCCACACTCTTAATAACTATCTGGTAGAATGTAAGCTCCACGTCTGCTGTGTTCACTGCTGAGTGCTATGCACAGTGCCTGGCATATGGTAGGTCTACAATAGATGTCTCTCAAATAAATGAATGACTTTATTATATGGCCTCATTAGTTCATTATATAAGTGTTTAAAAATAGACTCCATCACACTAAATTCTTTTAGAAACATTAAACACTCATGAAAGAAATATTGTTTTGTCAACAACATTAGGACATCAGTGATACAAACATAAAAGATAATACCTAGTTAATTGTAAAGCACTGAAATAAATTAAATCACATCAATTCTTGAGAAACAACACTAACAAACGATTTTCTTACCTATAGTTACATCCCCCCTGATTTCACTTTCTACACAAACAACTGCTCCAGGAGCAATCTTCACACTGTACAGGAAGAAAAAGGTAGCACATCATGGGTAAGGTTTAAAAATATTATTATAGAAGCTATACTGACATTGCAGTGAGAACAAGGTTAAAATAAATCTGATGAAAAATGAAAAGTAAATTTTAAGAGGGAAAGGTTTAATATGTTATAAACTTCTGCGGTAGCATACTTTCTACTAGGCTAAAATCTTATGTGATGCTTTATTAAAATGCTTGAGAAGAAAAGAGGCTCTGGATTCTTTTAACGCCAGCACTGTTTTTAAATAGCAAAAAAGCTGAAAACAAGCTAGATATCCATTAGTAGGATGTGGTTAATAAATTATGGTACACTATGGACTAATACACAGTCATAAAAGAGAATGAATAATCCTTTATGTAAAAGATTTGGATTTCCAAGCTATATTGTTAAGTCAAAAAATCAAAGCCAGATATGGACAGTATATAATATGCCACTATTTTTGTAAAGAGGAAAAAGAATGTACATTCAAAATATTTAATAACCAGCAAGGTAATATTAACATAGAAATCAATGCAGACACTTAAAATTCACAAATATTCCTACTTATTCTCTAACTATATATATTATAAAACTGCTTATCCCAAGTGATATGAATTGTACTGCAAATTGTTCAAAAAATTAATAATTTCCAAATAATTTATTGATGCTTTTTGATATTCTGCTCTGATCTTTTGACACAGCTGAATCTAGCTAAATGCTGCCCTAGCCATGAGCTCACATGAAGAGCTGCACCAAATGACTTCCCCATTAAACTGATAATCATTAGGGAACTTGTTCTCATTAAGTAAAAAATTTTTCTTAGTAGTAATTATATTATTTATGGCGCTAAAATATGCAATTTTATTAAACCCCGGTCAAATAAATTAGGCTTTATAAAATGCCTTTTGTTTTAGACCTTATTTCCCATTCCAACTTTCCACTCCCTCAGCCTCCCTCTATGATTTTTTAATGAAAAGAGCATTATCCAACATTTAATTTGTCAAGGACAAGTGAGGATAGGAGCGATTCACAAGTGCCCCTCTGTCTTCAGTTTTATGCCTAAGGGAGAGGCCCCACGCAGTCTGTGTCACAATCAGCATACTTCTCCGGGAGGCAAGAAATAATTAAATTCACCACTAGACCAACTATAACGTGGTCCAAACATCTCCGTCACTTCAGAGTGGGGGGGTGGAGGGGGCGCAGGCAGCAGGGAGAAGACATTTTAAAATAACAACTCATACGTTCACCTCTACTGTACGCTACTGTATACTGTGCGTAATATTTATGATAGATCTGTTCCTCTTTAGCTTATGAAAAAAGATTACAGTTACCTGCCTAAACAGAAGAAAACCCCTAAATTTTAACTTACGGCACGAGAAACAATGTTTGTCGGTTTTCTTTTTCAAAAAGAGTCAGTAGAGGGCGCTCGACACGGGTGCTTTGGGAAACAGTTTAACTTCATTTTTCGCATCCAAGCCGTTCCTCTCCACCAACAGTGCCTAGCAATGAAGACTGCTGGAGAAGAAGCCACAATCCCTGTCCTCACACGTTTGCTAAAGAGATTGTCCACGCCGGGGAGAACGGCTCCAACAGTCCTAGTCCGGGTGCGAACTCCTTTTTGACAAGCGACCGTGCATCACTTTACACACACGGCGCCCGTGACAGGCAGGAAGGGACTGGGGTGTGGCCAGTACTAAAGTGGGTGTCCCGGAGCACAGGGCAGAGAATGCAGCTACAGGCCACCCGTGGACGCCGCACCAAGTGCAGGACAACGGAAGGATGAGGGGACCTTCTGGGTACCGCAAAGGAGGCCACGCCAGTCTCCCCTCGCAGCCCCGCCCGGAGACCCCTTCCGCGCAGGCGCGTTGCGGGGGAGGGATGGCAAGGCGGCGTAGGGATGGAAGAACAAAAACCTTCCCGGCACCGATTCCGCATCCCTTCCCAGGCCTTCCTACCCCGACTCCGTCGCCTCCTCCCTCAGCGGCCGCCAGGTCAGGGCTTTAGGAACCATCTAGGCCGAACGCCCAGGATAAGACACCATCTCAGTCCCCACCACTGGCGACCAGGCACACGTTCAACTCCTGCGAAGAGTGGAGACTAGGCTTTTCTCAATCCACACACTCACCTCTTTTGAGTCTTCTCCGCCATGGTTTGGCCCCTGTCTCCAATTGGAGCGGAGATCGACACAACCGCCTGGGTAAAGCGATGATCTCTGCAAGCGATTGGAGAGCCTGGCCGGATTGGCAGCAGGCGGAGCCGGGGTGGGCGGGGCTGGAGGGCGGGCGGAGGGGGGGGGGGGCGGCGCGGCTTCGCGGGGGGTCCTCTACTCGGGTGGGCCGCATTGTGCAAGGTAGCGGTGCATGGCCACCCGCTCATGTTAGTGCAGTCCAGGGACCGAGAAACTCGTATTTAAACCAGCTGTTTAGTCCAATCCAATGCACATCATTATGACCTCACTATACCCTACCGTTCGTTTTTAGCCTCTTCGGTCTCTAGGATTCCTCCTGCTTGCCTTGGGCCCTTTTCCCCATTCAGTGTGAGCTCATCTCGTCTTGGGTGAGCGCGTCATTCCCATAAATTAAGTACCCTCTATCTGCTGGCTTTCTCAGGTTAATATCTGTAGTTCTGTCCTCTTTGCCGAGCTTCACACCTGGTTATTCGATTGCCTGCTTGACATCTCCCCTTAGGCGCCTCAAAGTCTTATCAAACCTTCAAAGTCCAGAACAGAGGTTTCGATTTACACCCTCGCCCTCTCTGCATTTCAGTAAAGGAATCCACCATTCACCCAGTTGCTCAAGCCAGAAACTCGAGTCATCCTAGGCATAGTTCACCGGCAAGTTCTGCTGGTCCTACATCTGGAGTCTCATTCTTCCACTTTGCATCATTTACTCTATCATCTCTCTAATCTAATCCCAGCCGCCATCTCTCCTCTGTTGTCTGCTCCTTCCACCCTTGACCTCTAAATTCACGCTCCCATCCCTGCCCCTCACCCCCCATCCAAGCCGTTCTCCTCTAGCAAAAATCGTCCTTTAAAAACCAAATCCAGTTATTTTACTTCCTATTCCTTTTTTTTTTTAAGATTTTATTTTTTGCTTATCTCCCCAAAGCCCCCAGTACATAGTTGTGTATTCTTAGTTGTGGGTCACTCTAGTTGTGGCACGTGGGACGCCACCTCAGCGTGGCCTGATGAGCAGTGCCACGTCCGCGCCCAGGATTCGAACCCACGAAACACTGGGCCGCCTGCAGTGGAGCGCGCGAACTTAACCACTCAGCCACGGGGCCAGCCCCTGCTTCCTATTCCTTTTAAAACCCAAACTCCTTTTCATAACCTATCTCTGGGCTAGATCCAGCCCCTGCCTACTTGTCTCTTCTTTAATTTCCTGTTCCTCTTTCTCTAATCACACTTCCATTCTCCAAGAAGCCAAGCTGACTCTACGCCCCAAACTGCTTCCACCTGCCGTCCGCCCCGCCCCCCCGCTTCTGACTCTCTAAGTCTCAAATTCACATACTCAGTGTATCATTCAGTCAGGGTTCAACCAGAGAAACAGAACCACCAAGAGATGTATATTGTGAGGTTTATTGCAAGGAATTGGCTTACGTGATTGTGGGGGCTGGCTAGGCAAGACACCTGTAGGGCAGACTGGAACTCTCATGCAGGAATGAAGCTGCTGTTTTATAGAATTTTTTCTCCAGGGAAGCTCCTGTTCTACTCTTAAGGCCTTTTAACTGATTGAATCAGGCCCACCCAGATTATCTGGGGTAAGCTCCTTTCCTTAAAATCAACTGGTTATGGACTTTAATCACATCTACAAAATACCTTCACAACGGCACCTAGATTGGTGTTTGATTGAATAACTGGGGACTGCGGCCTAGCTAAGTTGATACAAAGAACTGACCATCACTCAGAGAAACCCTCTCTGACCACCCATCAGAAATAGGTCCCTCCTGCTATACTCCTGCCTGGTTTCCTTCCTGGGATAAGGGTGGCGACCAGCACCAGCTGTGCTTAATTATTTTACTATCTTCCCCAAAGACTGTACCATGAAAGCAAGGCCAGGTGAGTTTGTCCCTACTCTTTACTCAGCACTGACATCAGTACCTGACACGGAGTCGATACTAAAAAAAAAAAAAAAGTTGTTGAATTAATGTATGGATGAATTGAGAACATTCTGCTATCCCCAAGCATGTAAACACCTATCTATTCTCAAGCAATTTTTCTGTCTAAATTAATTCGAAAGACTTCCATGGCATGTGGATTAGGGTTCTCCGAAGAAACAGGACCTAGGGGAGATATTGATATAGGCATATACACACACATTTATTTTAAGGGGTTGGTTCATGTGGTTATGGGGGCGGCAAGTCTGAAATTTGTAGAAATAGACCCACAGGCTTAAAATTCAGGGAAGAGTTGGTCTTGTGGTCTCTAGTTCACAGTCTGCAGGCTGGAAACTCAGCCAGGGTTTCTGTGTTACAGTCTTGAGGTGGAATTTCTTCCTCTTTGAGAAACCTCAGTCTTTGCTCTTTAGGCCTTCAACTGATTGGGTGAGGCCCACTTACATTTTGGATAGTAATCTGTTTTACTCAAAGTCTACGGATTTAAATGTTAATCTCATCTAAAAAAAAAAGAAAACCTTCACAGCAACATCTAGACTCACGTTTGACCAAACATTTGGGCAGCCTAGCCTGAGTTGACACAAAATGAACCATCACTGCATGCTTATAAGAAGGACTATTTTATCAATATTGAGTATAGTGCCAAGGCCCAAAAGCTTTTCAGGGACCTATAGAATGTTTGAGACCTGAAAATAAAATGAACTGATTCCAAAAGGCAAAAAGAAAAGTACAAGTAGGAATTAATAAATATTTAATTCAATGACACAAAGCATAAATTTTTTTCATAACAAATTAACTGCAACTTAATTCTTCTGCACCTAGCAATTATAGTTAATGGGGGATGTGGCTGTATTTTAATATGTGTAATATGACGTGAGCTTATTCATTTCTTAGGGAGCCCTCTCCTCCCCGTTAACTGTTGTACTGTTTGTCTACGTCTTTGGGCCATTTGTGGCCCAGAATAAGCTATCCATCTGTTTGGAAACATCCTTCTGAAGCCAATTTAAGCATTTCTACTTCTCCACTTCTCTTGCTTTTTGAAAATCCCCTATCTCTGTGGATGATTACTTCTTTACTTATCTGCTACAGTACACACGTGATATACTGCACTTATAGTTCTTTAATGAAAGTATTTGTTGCCATTTCCATCTCCCTAGTAGGTTGAGAGTTACTTGAGGGCACGGGCCATGTCTTATATATCCTTATATATCTTTATATATCCTTATATTCCTAGTCCTTGGCACAGATCTATCATAAACTTGTAGCCCAATAACACTCATAATTTTTATTATTCAATTGTTTTGCCTTCAACTACATTCAGCCAACCAGCTTTATACTGCATGCTTTTACATCCTTTATCGAATCTTTGTAACAATTCTGTTGAGACAGGCATTATTGTATCTAAGTTTAAGATGAAGGAGCTCAGTCTCGGAGAGGTGAAGCAATATGTGCTCTGAGTTCCCCAGTTAACAGGAAGCTTTCTTTCAGGTTTTCTCTTCTGTGCAGAGCTGTCTCTCACTAAGAGGTAGTCCTTGCCCTTAAGATGCTTTTGTATCAAGCTATACTCTCCCCGTTCTTTGGTTAAGGCTGCTTGCTCTTGCATGTGTCTTTGGAGATGACAAACAGCTGGTCGGGGACAGCGCCGTGATGCGCGGGGCTCAGTAGCTGGACTCTACTAGCCAAGAGACGGCCTGTTGATCTTGCCTTGCCTCTGGGCAGTGTCTCCTGTATTTCTTGCCCACATCCCAAAGAAAATTTCTCTTTAAGCAATTTCCTCTCTACACTTTTGCTTCCACAAAACCTTTTTAACTTTAACAAGTGTTTATGAGTACATAGTATGTGCCCAGTGCCGTTCTAAGTGCTGAGGATACACCAATAAACAGAAATTCCCTCTCTTGGAGAGCTCCCACTATAGCAGGGGATGGGCAATACACAAATTGAGGAATAGACATACAAGGAGTGGTGACAGATACTATGGAAAAAAGAAAAAGAAATAGCACAAGGAGGGCAGTGGTGGTTGGGAGGGGAATCTTCTTCCTCTTTGAGAACCTGCCTCCTTTCCTCATGCCCACATTCTTGTCCCACCTCCCCAGTCCAGTGACTTGTCTGTCCACAACTGGAAAATGAGATTTTTCATTAACTTAGTGAAGAAAATATGACAGTCCGATGACTGGAGAGGCAAATAACGTGGTGGGTAAAGTAAACAAAACCAGAACTTCTGAAAGCGATGTTTTTCCTACATTGTTAAGTGATATAACCCCAAAATGCGTTTTGGTTTCCATAGTGCAGTTCCCTTTATCAGAAAGCCAACTTGTATGCTGCTTATCTCCCGTGCTGTGTTTGCCTTTTGCTCACCCAGACCTTCCTAAACCGTATAAAACAATCAAGGGGAGCCTGGTTGAGGTTTCTCTTGCAGGAAGACACTGGTTACAGACCCTGGAGAGGACAGTGTCTTCTGTTCCAGTTCATGATGGGTTGGCTTCAGCTGTTCCTTCTCCATCCTGTATCACTTTATCAAGGGGCCGCTTTTCCTTTTGCACTTCTATTTAATTACCTTTGCACTATGGATTCATTTTCCACTCATGCCAGGTAGGTTTGATGGCTAATTTTGCTCTTGCATCTATGACTACCATTGTAAGTCGAAAAACATAGACTGGAGTGCAGATGTGAATATTAAATATTAATCACACTGGTTGTTTTTAAGTTATTGTCACTGCCGCTGACTATTGATTGCTGGATCATGAATATCTCTAATAGAGTGAAACGGAACTGGAAATTGACATCACGTCTGTACTTACTCAGAGTTTGGTAGGTTTCCATTAAGTGAAAAAAGGATAAAAATAAACTCGGGAGAAATTAATGTTGAGGTGGTACAGGAATACCCCAAATGGATCCATCTATACACCACCATATGTCCTGGATGTTCTTGAACAGTCCTGATTTCATGGAATTTTATCATTTCCAATAAAATTAAATTCTATTAAATCTATAACTAAATGGGATTTTTAAAAATGCCTTTGTATGACTTCTCAGAGAAATGAAATAGGTCAAAACAAATTTTGTTAGATTAGCTATATCTCAGCCTGGGGTTCAAAAATTATTGTTGCTACAGATTTGATAACTTGATTGAACTGATTTTTTTTTTATAGCTAATAAACTCAATACATTAGGGACAGTCCCTAGTTTTAAAAAAGTTTTGTGGAATATCCTTTCATAATGTGAAAATGCATTGCCAAAGGGCTACTTCCTAATAATTCCCTTATCTTGGAAATTAGGATTTTTATATATTGGGGATTCTTATGTAAAATCTAGCTGTGTCTAATGTTCCATTAGGATTGCTGAGTTTGGTTAAACTGTGGTGTGTTGCTGTATGTTCACAACTGGTTGATGGCCTTTAGCTTCGTTTAAGCAGTTGTAAAAAAATTTCCTAATGAGAAAGAATCACAAACAGTAAAGCAAAACGTGCAAAAATCAGGGTTAATTCCCATGGATTAAGGTTGCTGACTTTGGAGCCAGCCCCGGTGGTCTAGTGGTGAAGATTCGGCGCTCTCACTGCTGCGGCCCGAGTTTGTTTCCCAGTCTTGGCGCCACACCACCCATCTGTCAGCTGTCATACTGTGGCAACGGTTCACATAGAGAACTAAACTAACAACTAGGATACACAACCATGCACTGGAGCTTTAAAAAAAAAAAAAAAGATTGCTGGCTTTGGAGACAGCCTGGCGAGTCCTGAGTCTCTCATGTCTTGAGCATCCTTGTGTATGTGAATAAACACTCTCCAAGTTTATCTGTAAAATGGAAATAATAATGCCTATTTCATGGGGCTATTTTAAGAATTAAATAAAGATATTTCTTAGAAAAGGCTTATTAGCACAATGCCTATTGTAAGCATCCATAAATCATGCATCCTACATTGTGCATGTATACACATTTTAATGTTTGCAAATCCCCGGGGCATTTGCCTCTGGCTGGAGGGTTACTTCAGGCTTCCACTTCTGCTGTTTAAGGGTAAGTGTTCCCCCTTATTTTCCCATGGCAGGGAAGTGAAGGCTCGGACCACAGAGTTAACTGGGGTGGCTGGCTCAAAGAGAAGCACAGGGATGTCCCAGAGCCTGTGGAATAGATTGTCACACTGAGGCGCCTACCAGTCTCCCCAAGAAAGTAGTTCTTGCCAACACATTCATGTCACTATGCCACAGAGCCATGATATATGCCTGCCTTGTGACGGTCGAGAGGACGTAGGCCTCTTTGACTTAATTTTCCTGTCCTTGAGTCCTTGTTTCATATCTTTCCTGACCTCTTCGTTCAGATTTATTAATTTGGCACCAATTAAAAAAACAAACGGACCTCCACATGCTGTGGAAAGAAGACCCAAGTCCTCATAATGTGAACTTGCCCAGGTCTCTGCAGATCCCCAGGGCATCTTCTGGCTTCCGAGGGAGGAGGGCTCCACAAACCAGTTCACTGATGTGGGTATTTTACAACCTTAAAAAACCCCACTGACTCATAAAATCCTAGAGTGCAATAGAGAAGATTAAGGGCAGATGTAAAGATTTTCTAATTGAGTTTTCCAACACTTACCAAAAGGAGGCATTGGGTCCCCTTTCTCCCTCTCTTACTCTCTTCAGTGGTTCAGGGCAGTACAACCCCGTGAAAAGGAAAAGAGACCCATCTCAATGAAATGATGTCTAGAGAGCTCTCCTAGGTCCTCAATACTGGATCCACGTGACTTTTCAGTCAGGCAGCATACCACTAGCTTTTTAAGATGTCCCTACTAGGAAGCCTTCTGGACCTGTCACCCACAGGATTGGCAGGGGCACGTATTGTTCCCATTTGAATGGCCAACATTAAAGAGCGGTTTCCAGGGTCACTAAGGCGGGAATCGAGATTTGTCTCCTGTGGATGTCATTTACAATGGACTCCGGCTCTTTGTCCCATGGTTCTATCCTTCAGAACAACAAAAGGAAGACTTTGCAGTGATAACGGGATGACTTCTTTAGTCTGTTACGTGGGGACTACCTCTGTTGGGTTATCCAGAATAATGACATCTGAAGTGACTCATTTGTCACACTGTTCTAAGTCAGTCTCACGGGCTGTCTTTTTCTTCCAGGTACCTCTTTCTGCTGGCAGGAGGAGGCGCCCTGGCCTTGGCCGCTATGGGTCCCTTTGCTGTGCTTGTCTTCATCCCTGCGATATGTGCTGTGTTTCTGATCTGCTTGCTCAGCCCACAGGAAGTCCACAGGCAGACTTTCTGCTTTCAGATGAGCTGGCAGACGCTGTGTCACCTGGGTCTGCACTATACTGAGTATTATCTGCAAGAACTTCCTTCCATGAGGTAAAGCAGCCAGCTCATTTGGTTGGACTGAGTTGACCCAGGGTTTGCTTGGTGATCGTGGAGGGAACCTGGCTGTTGAGTTTGAATCAGAATTCTCCCACCTGTGAGCAGTGTGCCCTTGAGCAAGTCACTTAACCTCTCTCAGCCTCAGTTTCTTTTTCTGAAAAAAAGTGTGTGTGTGTGTATAACAATACTTATCTGGCAAGACTCTTAGGTTAGAAATAATGACTATAAATGTAATTATATGACTACTAATAACCACTATATGTTGCCTGTACGGTAGCACAGTGTCTGGCTCTTAGCTGTAATTAGTGTTGTCCCTGAGAAGGGGGGTGAACCAGGAGTCCCAGGGCTGCAGCTGAGGCCTGCCTGGATGTGACTCAGTGCAGTTTGCTCACCTCAGTGTGGGTGGTTCAGACACAGAGCCAGCAGCCTTCCCTCGCCTTCAGCGGGACAGGGAAATTATAAATCTACTGTAAACCTTTGCTGCCTTCCCATGGCACCTGCTGTGCAAGAGTTTTACTTTCACTGAGACTCAGCTGTTCCCTCGGAAGAAGGGTAGTCACCCAAACTAGGAGAAAAAAAAAATCAGGTGCTAGTTAGAGTCTAGAGAAGTGTTTTCATAGTCAGTGAGATCACCAAGATTAGGGGGAAACAGGTATCTCTGTGGCCTTGAGGCCTCTTGTTCCTGGCTCCCTCTGTCATCAGTTGGCATGGGTCCATGGCCCCTCAGAGAACTGGGGCTGTGGCCTGTCGAGGTGGGTCACCTGATTCTAGCCTGCCATTGGTTCACTCACTCTGCCATCCCTACCACACCCGGAATCCTGTTCTTTATTCTAACTGTTTCCCTAAAGGCTTCAGGGCTTGCTTGTCTGAAGAGAAGGCAAGATGGCAGGTGGGTAGGGAGAACTGACTGGGTGAATTAGGGTTTCAGTGGGAAGCCGAGACCTGATAGGGGCTGGAGGAGTAGGTTGAACAGGATCTGGCCCGATGGGAGGAAGGCTGAGCCAGAGCTGAAACGGGAAGATGTATTAGTTTGCTCTGGCTGTCCCATAACAAAGTACCGTGGACCTGGTGGCTTAAACAACAGAAATTCACTTCCTCTGGAGGCTGGAAGTCCAAGATGGAGGCGTTGGTGGTTCTGTTTCTTCTGAGTCCTCTCCCCTGGGCTTGTAGATGACCATCTTCTCCCTGTGCTTTCAAATGGTCTTCCCTCTGTGTATGTGTCTGAGTCTTAATCTCCTCTCCTTCTAAGGACACCAGCCATATTTGATGAGGGCCCAGCCTAAAGACCTCACTTTAACTTAATTACCTTGGACTCTGTCTCCAAATACAGTCACCTTCTGAGGTACTGTAGGTTAGGACTTCGACATATGAATGGGGTCGGGGGACGACACATTCGGCCCATAACAGAAGGTAAGTGAACAGGGGTTGGTGGCATTCGGAGGCTGCTTTGCTTACTGTTAGGATTTAAGTCAAGTGAGGAGGTCAGTCGTCCTTAAATCCTCAGATACACTGATAGAACGGCAGCGGTTGGGGACAGTGCTGTTTTCTCTCCGCAGGACAGCATTCCTGATTGTAGAGTGCGTCCCTGTAATTTTCATTGATTTTCTCCGCAATAATCTTGCCAGCAGGATCTTCTCTCCTCTGTGATGGTGAAGCAGGAATAGCTCGGGCAATTGGTTAAGAACACACCCCAAAATCCTAATGACTCAGCTCACACCTTGAACCTGTAGTTTGACCATTCCTCAGCCAAATCCCAAAGCCTGCAGAATCTTCGTCCGGGACTGGTTCATGCTTACATTCTCCAACTTCCCATAATCTCTTCATGACTAAGTTTTTGTTTCTTCTATGGCAAATTTCTCCAAGGTCCTTGATCCTAATCTTTATAAGCCATTCTTAGAAATGTCGTCATCAGTATTTCCCCACAATACTCCTCCTCATTCTTTCATTTGCCTCTCTGACTAATGATTAATTTCCCCATTTGCCTTTTGATCCTGCCCAGAGTGGCTTCTGGTTCTGAATTAATCCAAGAGTCTTTGTAGGGTGCTGCAGGCCATGAGATTGGTCTTAGTTGTTCAGAGCCACCCATTTGTTGTGGGGTCATGTGTGAGGGACTGGAATGGGATAAAATAAATATGGAATGTTTTTACCTTAAAAAAAAAATCTCTTTCAGGTTCTGCCTCGCTCTTTCTTCCCTCATGCTCTTGACCCAGAGGGTCACATCCCTCTCTCTGGACATTTGTGAAGGGAAACTGGCAGCAGCATCAGGAGGCACCAGGAGCAGAAGCTCTTTGTCTGAGCATCTGTGTAAGGCACTGCCCTATTTCAGCTACTTGCTTTTTTTTCCTGCTCTCCTAGGAGGCCCTCTGTGTTCCTTCCAGAGATTTCAGGCCCGTGTTCAAGGGCCCAGCAACTTGTGTCCCAGGCACCCTTTCAGGGCTCTGACCTGGAGGGGTCTGCAGATTCTGGGACTAGAGTGCCTAAAGGTCGTCATGAGGGCAGTGGTGAGAGCAGGAGCAGGACTGACCGACTGCCGGCAACTCCAGTGCATCTATGTCATGTGGTCCACAGCCGGGCTCTTCAAACTCACCTACTACTCCCACTGGATCCTGGATGACTCCCTCCTGTGTGCAGCGGGCTTTGGATCTGAGTTTGGGCAGAGCCCTGGTGAGGACGGATACATCCCTGATGCAGACATTTGGACGCTGGAAACAACCCACAGGATATCCCTGTTTGCGAGAAAGTGGAACCAAAGCACAGCTCGGTGGCTCAGACGCCTCGTATTTCAGCACAGCAGGGTCTGGCCGTTGTTGCAGACATTTGCATTCTCTGCCTGGTGGCATGGGCTCCATCCAGGACAGGTGTTTGGTTTCCTCTGCTGGGCTGTGATGGTGGAAGCTGACTACCTGATTCACACCTTTGCCAAATTGTTTATCAGATCCTGGCCGATGAAGCTGCTCTATAGAACTCTGACCTGGGCCCACACCCAGCTCATCATTGCCTACATAATGCTGGCCGTGGAGGTCAGGAGCCTCTCCTCTCTCTGGCTGCTGTGTAATTCTTACAACAGTGTCTTTCCCATGGTGTATTGTATTTTGCTTTTGCTATTAGCAAAGAGAAAGCACACATTTAACTGACATCTTTCCCTGGCCTTCAACTTATATATCCATGAAACAGAGTTTAGAAAATGCCAGACAGTGCATTGATGATGCGTATGTTTCAACTTTTCCATAATAAAAGCGTTTTCAAAGTCCAGGATGTATATACCTGATGACTTGCCATAGAAGTTTGTATATCTACTTTAACAAGCCTTTATTCTGGTACTGAGAATCCAAAAAACACAAAGACCTGGTTTCTGCCCTTGGGGTTTACATTTAGGTGTGGAAGCAAACTTTAAGTACAGTGATACATAAAAACATAGCATACTATGAACCAAATGGCAAATGGTTTATACGTGGACATCCAAAAATTGAGTGTCCCTTTGGTCCCCTTGATCCTGGATGGGAGTTTAGCAAGACAAAAACGACAACAAAACAAAACCTAAATCATATTATCATGTTGGTTTGTTACATGAACTAGAGGCCCATCCCTATCCACAATTTGAAAAATTTGCTCTAAAAATGGAAAGGCTCATATTATCTCCGAGATATGTTAATAAACTGAAAATCCGGCTAAGACTTGATAACCACTTATATAACTGTTGAATAAAAAACTGACTCATGAACTATGTCACATGAAAACACCAATAACAAGAAGTAAACACTGCTTTAGTACAACTTTAAGGGTCTGCTTCCTTTTTCTTGGCATATCCTAAATAACTCCCTTTGTTTCTTTGTCTGTTAGGATTTAAAATACACCAAGAGAAAGATGTTGGGACCTCCAAGTTATAGGGAAGCAGTGTCAATTAAGTAGCACTGTCACAGTGCTACCACATCTGCGGGCCATCTGGACTATTATGTAATTACTATTTTTCTTTAAATCAACTTTAACTCAACTTACTTTTAAAAACTTACCCTCTTTCTAAGCAATGGCATTGGTGAAAATTTGCTTTGGCGTACTAATTATGTTTTATTCTGGTAGTCACTAAAAGAAAAATATACTTGTTTATATGAAAAATGTTTATTTGTGTCCTGCTTAAAATTATCTGCTTACCCTGGGGTTACAACCATCCCACCGTAGGAAGCGTTGTACAAGTAACTAAGCTTCCAAAACCCATCATTTGTATCCTTCTCAAAATATAAAATTGCAAATAAGCTTTTAACCTTTGAACCCTGACAAAGATACTACTAAGTTAGAAGTTACAGATCACTTTGAAAGTTATAGGCCAATATCGCTCATTAAGACAAACAGCCCAATCGTAGCACACAGAATGTAACATAGCCAGCAGCAAGGGCCTCGATGAGCAGACGGCATGAATTTGCAATGGCCTTAACCAGCACGGTTCTGTACTTCCACTTAGTGCTCTCAATAGCCCAGAAGAGACAGCGTGGACAAATGCGGTTTCCCAGGATTGGGGACAGTCAAGGGGGAAACACTACACAGCCAAGGGGGTATTAAATGACTCTAAAACCATTACAAACATGTCTCTGAAATGATGCTCCTTAGAATCCAGCCCAGAGAGGCAAGTGGGGTGGTGGTGGTGTTCTAAGTTGGGAGAAAATTTAAATAATCACTCCATTATTATAGAAAAAAGTGTTCAATTAGGAGAATTATTAAGCAAATTAAGCAATTAAACAAATGATGATGGACTATTACAGAGCTATTAAAGATGAATGCTTTTTAGAGAGGTGTTTTTGGGGAGCTGGCTACGTGGATGCATGTGTTCAGTTTATGAAAGTCCCTCAAACTGTACACTTAAGACATGCACAAGTTTCTGTATACATGTTGCATTTCAATACTTTTTAAGTGAGTGCTTTTAACGATTAGGGAAACTCTTATGATAGGATATTCAATTTAAAAAAGAAGTTGGTTAATAAAGTCTTTTAAAGTGCAATTCAGTCTTTAGATCGATCTCCCTATTGATGGCCAGGGGCCATTCCTGCTCCTCTCATTGGTTAAACCAGACGTCTACTTCCTTCCCTTTCTATTTGCATCCTATAGGAAGGGTTTCTTTCAGCTGGACATTATAAAGAACAAAGTGATTTGAGGGAGTTAATCTAAGAAAAAAAGTCAGAGCCCGAGATGTAGACCAGGGAGCCATCTGTCTGCCCAGAGGAGATCCTGGGGTCCACAGAGGGCAGAGCACAGGGAGACCGTGTCTTCTTCTAGTCCTCATTTCCTTCGTTAGGACTTAACTTTCAGTTTCTGGCTCTTGCCCCAGCTGCAAGGTGAGCAACTGGCAACTTTAGTTTCCTTTTCCTTCAGTTACTGATTCTGTCACTCCCAAGACCCTGCCCCTTGCCTCCCAAATTCAGTTTGACACGTGACTGGTGGCACCTGCTTGTTAACCTCTCTCATGATTAATCTCATGGCTCTGACTTTGTTTCCAGAACTGGATTTGATGTTTTCCTTCTCTTGTTTGAGAAGTGGCCCCCAGGCCGCCCCTGCTTTCTGCCTTGTTCTGGCCTGTTTGTTGGCCCAAGCAGGATAGCATTTTGTTAAATCATGCTTATCCCCTACAAATGCAAGGAAGGGGCCAGCAACGTCTGTCCCGTAGGCAGCAGCCCTGGACAAGTGAACTCGATTCTGTGGGCCAAGTACTAGAGCTAAGTTACGCATGGCATCAGCCCCAGTGGGCATACACCTCCTGACCCCTGGCCTCCCAACCTTTTATCAGCCAAATTACTCTGAAGGGTTTGGTAGGAGCCCTTACAGACCAGGAGGTCTCATCCAGTTGTTTGAAAGTATTATGTGCGATTCCGGTGATTAAGAAATCCTGAAAAATGGGATAAGCCATGATAACTGAAAAGCTTGTTTGTTGCAGGAGTGCGGGTGGGGAGGATCATGTATACTTAGTCCTCTGGAAGCGCGAGTCATGGCACTCTGGCAGCGTTTATGAGATAATCAGCAGGCCTTCTTGGTTAAGTTGAAGTGCTGCAATGAATGACCAGGAGCAAGGTGGCTATGGCATTTCCAAGAGACACTGAGGCTGACAGAGTGACTCGTGTCTGCAATATATTTTATGAGACTTGATTGTTAAAATGTTTTTTTGTCTTGTTTTGAAGAATTTATCTACTTGTATGAGAAGAGAACTGCTTAGCAGTACAGAGAACTGGTAGGAAACATGGTAATAACAGCTAACACTTAACACTATCACTGTGAGCCCTCTGCGTGTCACATTTAAACCTTACAACTACCTTGTGAAGTAGGTACTATTATCCTCATTTGACAGATGTGGAAATGAAACAGAGGTTAAATAACTCAGTTGAGGTTACACATCTAGTCTAAGAGCTAGAAGTCCAGCAGTCTGAGCCCAGAGGCCACAGAGTAACCACTATGCCAAGATGCGTGCCACAATGTCAACCCTCAAGGAATCTATAAAGTAGTTACAAGGTTATAAAGTGTCACAAGTCTCAATAGTATTGTTTTGCCTGGTAACGGTTTTAAACAAGGCAAATGATGGTAACAAACATATGAAGAACCAGTAGTTGGGATATGTGGTCCAGACCTTGGTTATTTTTTCCCAATTCTCCCTCACTACTTCTTCACCCCCCATCCTCTGACATGGATAATCAAAAACTTGGTCGTCATCCTCAACTCTTCTTTCTCCCACACAGTTCATCAGCAAATCTGCTTGGTCATTCCTTTAAAATATACCCTACATCTCAGCATCTCTCACATCTCCATTGTCTCTGGGATCCAGAGATCACGGTGTCAGAAGCAAGAAGCTCCTGTTACCACTTTTGCTGCCCCAACTGCTCCCTGAAGGTCAGGAAGCTGAAGGACCAACACCAGAGCCCTGCTCCCGACACTCACTCACCCCTGCCTGCTAGCGGACCGCCAGCTGGAGCAGAACGAGGTATATCCCTCCACCTCACTTCTGCTCCCCAAATCTTCTCCTCCTATGAACCCCCATACTTCTCTTTTGGCATGTATAGGAATCAGCTTCGATTCATTTTTGTGTCTCTGTCTTATCTTACTAGATTGCTAGTTCAGAGAGGGACTACATGTTCCCATTGTTTTTTCTATTCCCCAAAGTACCTAGAATGCTGTCGTGTAGCATATAACTGCAAATGGGAACAAAGAACTTTTCTAGATGAAAAGCTGGAACCAAACATAAGAGTTTCAGCATAAGCATCTCAGTGACATAGCCAAGGTGAAGGACAGAGGTGTGAACACCAGACCATTTCTACCTAATTAGTTGGACACTCCTCAGTATGTAGAAAGTTTTTTTTTTCTTCTAAATAATTTATTTTTTGAAGACACTGTTTTAAGAATTGGACTGTGAAAATATCACTAGGCCATTTTTAAAGTCATTTCTAGTATGGAGTATGGCTTAAAACCATCTTTCTTTAATCCTTAGGAGATGTGGGGGAATTGGAATTTGTCACCTGAAAATGTGTCTCTTTGGCTTATTTTGAAGACTCAGAAAGAAACATTGACCTCCCCCACTAATTGCCTAAAAGAATTTAAGATAGAAGGCCTATTCTAGGAAGGAGCTAATATCATAAATAACTATAGTATAATATAAACTAAGCATGGTAGGCAAGGAGGAACCTAGCAAGGCCCATTTGATCAAAATCCTCCCCACGTCCCATTGTCTTTGAAAAGTATGGCAAACATTTATTTACCAAAAATTTGCTTTTCCATCTCCATGTGAATTGCCTTCCCCCCTCTGAAGACCAAAACTACTACCCCCAACATCCTCCTTTGTCTTTAGCTGAAGATGGTATTTAAGGTGGTGGCTTCAGCCATTTTGGTGAGTTACTCAGTTTTCCTGGGTTTCCCCTATGTAAACTTGTTATTAAATTTGATGTTCTCCTGTTATTCTGTCTCATGTCAATTTAATTCTTAGACCAGCCAGGAGAACCTAGCAAGTAGAGGAATATTTCTTCCTCCTCTACAAGCCTAATATCCTCTTCTTCACTGCTATACTCATAACTAGGTTTTAGAGCTGATTCTAACCTATGTTTTGGGAGTTAGTGATTTAGATTATGACAAAAATAAACTAAAATCCATCCATCTTAGTTTAATCCTAGGAAGTTGTTCAATTGTGAACACTTTAGAAACAATTCTCAAATGTTCTGTGTAAGTGTACCTAGCTTTCAGGAAAACATCTGTCTTAATTTGGGGAGGTTCACAGATCTATGCCAGTTCATTGGCTTTTA